CCCAGGATCCGCGTCTCCTTGGAGGCCAGGCCCGCGGGGCCCGGCGGCCAGGAACTCTCTCCGGCCCTTACAGCCACTTCCTCGCCCAGCGGGGCTCCAGCGCCTGCTCTGAAGCTCCTCGTTGTCTTCCTCTCGGGGCTTTATTTTCAGCTCGGGACCCCCCTTTTCTGTTTTCTGATCCACGTTAATTCCCGATCTCAATCGCTTGTCTTCCGATTACTTCTCCCTTCTCTTTTCTAGACTTCCCCACTGTCCCCTCAACACTCCTCCAACCCACACCTTCAAACTGACCCTTACCCCACAACTGCTCCCCCCAACCCACCCGGTCCCAAGCTCCTGGGCTCAGAGTCCTGTGCTCCAGAGCTCCTTCCCCATTCTTCTGGCAGCCACACCCCCGAGCTTGTCCCTCCACTCCTGAACATCCTATGGACATCTTTTCTACCTTCCTGGGTGGAAAAATCCTTTCACTTTGTCCATTTCCACTTCATCTTGAAGAACAGTAGGGAGAGGGGATTGCTGCTTGTCGGGATGAACCATTTGCAACAAGCCCCACAGTCTGGGTACCTTTTCCAGGCCTAGGCAAACCCCGCATCCACCTGGACCTGCCATGCCCCACGCTAGGCTCCTGCCCACCTCACCCAGGCCAGGCCAGGCTTCCCAGGCAGCCAGTGCTCCAGGAGGCCGGCCCACCCCTCCTCCCCCATCTTCACATCCACATGGCAGTTGGACTCAGCCCTTAAGCAATCTAGGGCTGTTAGAGAGGGTACCTGGTCCAGGTGGGTTTGACATGACCCTTCCCAGGTAGCAGCAGGGACAAACTGGTTGACACGCAGAGGCAGAGTACAGTGTCCCCACCTTCCCTGTGTCTTCCCCTCCTTTCAACTCCCCAGTCCTTGTGAGAAATGAAGCAGGTTCCCTGTCAGCTTTTTTTTACACTTACAGGAGCTGGAAGTAAAGTAGCTAACGGGGCCTCGTTTCCCTGCTTGTGTTTAAACTAGGGGCCTGGATGAGGAGCTACTTTTGTAACAGGTGGTGTAGGGCTAGTCTGGGTTACCATTTCCCCAAACTCTGGATCTCCAAGTCCTTGCTCTGGCATGACCTTATTGGGAGGATCCCAGTGTGCCTGGGTAGGGAGAGATCGCTGGCTCTCACCCACCTTCCTGGGTGTCAGGCACCAGGACCAGCTAGGGGAGCACTTTTCAGAGCCACTGGCTCCGAGTTAGCAGTTACTTCTTGGCTTTGGCAGTACCTTGGCTTCCAAGACGTGCCCACTCTCCAGCTCCCTTTTCCTGGCTTACAACCTTCGATCCTCCCAGGTGGAAGAACTCTTCTTTATTTGAGACGGAGTCTCTCTCTGTCACCCAGGCTGGAGTGAAGTGGCACAGTCTCGGCTCACTGTAACCTCCGTCTCCCAGGTTAAAGCAGTTCTCCCTACCTCCGCCTCCCGAGTAGCTGGGGTCACAGGCACCTGCCACCATGCCCGGCTATTTTTGTATTTTTTAGTAGAGACAGGGTTTCACCATGTTGGCCAGGCTGATCTCGAACTCCTGACCTTGGGTGATCCGCCCGCCTCAGCCTCCCAAAGTGCTGGGATTACAGGCCACTGTACGCGGCCAGAACTCTTTTTTTCTTGAATCTCGAGGGAGACTCCAACAAGCCAAGCCAATGGTGTGAGGTCACAGGGGAACAGAAAATTCTCCTTGTCTCCCCACTGGTGGGTGGGCTGGAGCTGCAGCTGGACCTGGTGATGATGGGCCACATGATACTGGTCCCTGGTGTACTCTGTCTCCCAGCTAGGCTGGCCCAACACAGAGTGATGGCTCTGCTTCTGACCGGAGCTCCTGGTGACCAGGCCTTAGCCTGGCTGGTTCAAACCGGCCTGCACTGTGCAGAGCAGAGTTCTGCCCTGGGCGGCCAGAGGCAGGGAGCTGAGCAGGTGTAATGGAGACCAAAGGCACTGGGGCTGCCCTGGCTGGTGGCCCTCCCTGGCCTGAGGGCTCTGCTCAGTGACTTCCCTGGGAACAGAGCAGCTGAGCGAGGAGTGCTGTGGGCACTGGCCTCCCCGAATGCTGCTGAGAACACCTCCAAGGGGTGGCCCTCTGCTGTGAGTGGCGCCCCCGGAAGGTCAACACAGACCTGGAGACCTGGACTCCTGCCTGCTCTGCTCCCTGGAGAATCTGGGCACAGATGGTGTGGGTCTCTACATGCTGCCTTCTGTGTGTCCCTGGTTGGGCCCATGCTGGCCATCACCCCAGCTTGGGCTCAGTCTGCCATATTCTACTAGCCTTTCTTAGTGACCGTGTTGATTGGCTGTCTCGAGCCAGCCAGTGTCAGGAATGCAGCAGGTTCTACTCTCTGTTCCTGCTAGAACGCTTTTCCTGACCCCAGCAGAACACATGGCTCAGGGTGGGCACCAGCCAAGCTGGGGGCTGACTCAGACAGTCCCCAACTCTGGTGAGATGCAGATGGGAGTATTCATGCTGAACCTTGTGTGTTGTGCCTGGCACTGGGGCTGTGGGGGACAATCCCATGGGCCTCTGGAGTTGGCTGGGTCCTCAGTAACTCGAGAGCTTGTCATCCAGATACCAGATGCCACCAGTGCTGGCAGGGAAGCCTCGGGTGGTGCCCCAGGTCTGAGCCCTTGGGCCTGCAGGGCCGGCTGACCCACAGGCCTGTGCCTGCACGATGATGCCTCGCAGGCTGCGAAACCTGCTTG